TAATATATACTCCTATTTAGGAAGCTTCTCAAGCAACTTCTACCAACTAGGAAGCTTTTAGAAGGTTCGAGAGACTTGCTTCTAGAAGGTTCTAGAAACTTATCTCTAGAAGGTTCTAAGGAGTATGTCCCTAACATCTTCTACCAACTAAAAAGGTTCCAGAGACTTGCTTCTAAAAGGTTCTAGAAACTTGTCTTCAGAAGGTTCTGAGGACTATGTCCCTAACATATTGGCGTCTTTCAAAGAATTGATTATTACATTTAATGGCTTTAACAATAAATTATTGCAATAAATCTGTTTTTAGCATTGTCAATAATAAATCTTTGACATTATCTTTTAATCCATATTAAAATTGATTGATAAGAATATTATCATTCTAATCCACATTGTAAGTAAGATTTTGGAATTTAACAGTATGTATAGGGACTAAATGTGATCTTTGTTGTAGCAATATAAGTGTGGTCTCTTTTATCTTTTTTTGATATTTTTTCCAAATATAGCTACAAATACTTCCAAAAATGAATTCAAATTATAGAGTAGTCATTAATCTTTTTCTATCAAAAGTACAAACTAATAGAGAGTTCTTCTTGATAGAAGTGCGTCTATAAATCCAACTTGAATTAATCCATTGATGTATTGAAAAAGATGCAATCTTAAATAGACCTTAATTTGTTGCAAAAATCTTTAAAATTTTGATCTTGTTTCATCAAACTTCTCAATCATACTAATCTTTGCCTCTTTTATGCTTATAAAAACAAGACATCTTAAATTTGGTTGTAAGGCTGATTTACTTGCTTTTCTCAACCATAAAACTTCATGGTATAGACTTTAAACTTCAATCATACGTATAGAAATAGTACCTCTATGATTTATATTAGAAATACATGTTTCTATTCTTAGAATGTTGACAAGCTTGTGAGGATCTATAATGGTTATAAATCTATTCTTACTTTTGTAAAGAATAGCATCTATAATATTTCCTTCTATAGAAAACTCAAATAAATTCAAAAAATTATAGCAGAGGAAGATAATCTGCAACCTCTAACATCAAATGAAAATTTCTACAAAAAGAAATAATCCACTCTCCTTAAGAAAAAAATCAGTGCTAAAAAAGTAACTATTTATTCAAAAGTAGATAGTCTACAAATTTCAAAACATAATAATAGAAGTAGAATAATCTATTCACTTTTAAAATAAGATAAGAAGAATAAATTATGACTCTTATCAAATTATAAAGGACGTGAATTTCAAAGAAAGAAATCTTCAATGCATTCTTATGTCACCCAAAAAGACTAAGAAATCATTCAAAGATGGTAAAATATTGAATTAAAATGGCTATTGTCAAAGACAAGAAGACTAAAAAGTCTTGAATTAAGACTGCGGATTATAAAGGCATTAATAAGAGTGAAGAAGGCTTCATTCTTGCCTCTATATATACTCTTTGACTAAAAACTACATGGCGATATGCTATAGGATCTCTAACACATATTGACTTTGTTAGATACATGTCTTAACTTGCAAGACAAATTATCTATATATAAACCACATAATTAGCTTGTTCTACAAGCTTCTAAATGTGTGATATGTAGCTAATTTGTTGAAATTTTTTCTAGCCTATCAATTAACTACAAACATGTATAAAGTCAATTCAACATCTATGAAGCTACTAAAAATTTTCTTTAGAAGATATTATAAAATTAATCTACTTTTATCTACTTATATTTAATTATATAGGTAAGTATTGGAATAAATATGTACGTCCATAACCACATTGTAACTAATTACAAAAGCATATAAGTTATTTCACCAAAATCAATATTTAAAAATAATATTAAATTTGTATAATAATATTATTAGATTTATAATCCATTTTTTATTTTTTTATTGAGTAGACACTCCATATACATATACCATGGAAAAAAATTAATATATTTTTTAAAATTATTTAATTATTTTTATTATACATTTATCTTAGTTTGACAATAAAATTTGATATTTGCCTATCTATTTAGATTCATATTATATCAACTTTGAATGCTTTTTTCTTTGTAAATATTTGTTAAGAAAGCATCACAAAATAAAAAAATTATTAAATATTATTAGTATTAATATTTATATATTTTAAATTTTTAAAATAAAATAATTGAATTAAATCAAACAAGCTATTTTTTTGTTGGAATGTGTATTTGAAAGGTGTCCATGCATTAAAAATGAGATATCTATCTAAGATTTTTTAAATATATATATATATATATATATATATATATATTATTTTAAAAGAATATAATTGTTTTTGCATTAAATATGAAAATAGAAATCTTAACAAAATACAGCTTGATTATATATATATATATATATATATATATATATATATAATCATATATAGATTATAATAGATTATATATCATATATATATCTTAAAAATTAATATTTGTGACATATTTATTTTATTCTTGTTACAAAAATTATGTATTCTCTTATATTAAGATATTAAGTCAATATACTGACCTATTTTTAAAGTATATATATATATATATATATATATATATATATATACATAAAACTATTATCAAATATGGTTTATGATTTAAGATTTTTATAAGCAATATAAACTTATATTATTTCAAAGTATAAGGTTTACATCAATATATGTATATAAATATTTTTATTTATTATACTTTATTTAAAATAAAAATATTAGATTATTATGTAATGATTTTAATGTACATAAAAAATAAAATAAAATAAAGTCGAAAATAAAAACAAATTTATTTATACAAAACATGTAGTCATAATTAATTAATATTATTATTTTATTTTTATAAATTTACAATCTAAAATTTGAATCATATACTATATTTTTTAAATAACCAACTAAATTAATATTTATATAAACTTAAAAATAATAATATCTAGTAATTCTTTTAAAAAGCATATCAAATGTATATATTACTTGATTATATCAAATAAACACATAATTTGTTTTATTGTCTAAGGCCTTTGCAACATAAAAAGATATACTATATTTAAGAAAGAAATATCTAGTTACTCAGATTTATTAGCATATTATATAAATTTTTTTTACTATATTCAAAATAAAATAAAAATCACATATTATCATTTTGAAATTTAATTTATATAAAAATATAATATCTTCACATAAATACTAATATCAAATATTTCAAAATATTAAATATTTTTATTTGTAAATTTTGCAAGTAAATCTTTATAATTTTCCTAAAAATATTCCAAAAAAATAAAAATAGAAAATTTATTCAGAAAATAAATCTATAAAAGTTGCACAAATATGAATACATATAAAAAAAATTATATTTTGCATTTAAATTTTTGTTTATTAAATTTGATTATAGTCTTTTTAAAATCGATTTTTATACTTTCATAAAACTTGCCATTACAAATAAAAAGAAATCTAAAATATAAAATATTTTTTATTACAAGTATTATAATTTTTTATTATTTTAGAATTACACATTTATTATAATGTTGATAAAATTACAATATTTTGATATCTTCAATAAAATTAAATGCAACACACAACTATAATTTAATATAAAATATTTAATATATTTATTTTTTAAAATTTTAGATGGTTTTAATTAAATTTTTATTCTAATTAATACATATAATTTGCACTAATTTTATCATGGTCTTAATTATGTATTTTTATTGTGATCATGCATAAATCTTGTACATTATATGTCATTTATTTTATAAATGGCCAAAGCTACATACATACCCCAAATTTCTATAAATACATCCCAAAAAATAGAAGCTTCTAATTGATTAGTTGGCTAATTTGACTAGCAAATGACAGGAAAAAGGGAGACAAGGTTAAGACTAGTACCTAGACTAGGACTCTAACCTGAGACAAGGAAGAGGAGAAAGAAGTCAAAGACCCATGTTAGAATTAGGTTTCATGCCAAGACAAAGAAGTGGAGAAGGAAGTCATCTTCAAATCCATTCATAGCAAATAAACAAAGCAACCAATTAAAGACCTTACATGTGCACATAGACATAATAGATGTATGTATAACAATTTGAGATGTGTGTTTAACATAAGCCTTTGCAAATATGTAATTTATATATTATCCAATTTTTTTATTATAAGTAGCTTTTAATTTAAATGTGGATTACATACATATATATAAAATAGAAATTAATCACATCTTTTAAATATATTCTTTAAAATGAAAAATTAAATCAAATTAATAAGTTGTATAATAGATATTTTTAAACTTATTTTAAATGATAAATTCAAGTATCATTTGTTAAATTTATTTTAATTAAATTATTAATCTTAATATAATAAATTGCATGTTTGATTTCAAGGATGAATTGAAATTAAAATGTGTCTGTGTGTGTGTATATATATATATATATATATATATATATTTCTCATTATTAATATAATCTTTTTCCTAGAATATGTAATATTCTTTGATATAAATCTCTTATATATATATATTTCAATGGAATTGTGAAGAAGTGGCTTCAAAATTACTTACATATTTGAAGATTTATTCTAAGCATCCTGCACACAAATGATAACATAGCTTCTCAAACATCTTACAAGGAAACAAAAGAGAAAGAAAAGTTGGCATTCTTGTACTCCATTGGGACGGATTCAACTTGGAGCAACAGCAGCAGAGCAAAAAAAGAATATATATATATATATATATATAGATAAGAAAAAGAAAAAGAAAAACACCACAACAACAATACTGGCACTTCTGAGGTTGGGTCCGGCGAAGATGCTTGGTCGAAGACGTCCCGCAAGGGGGCGAGCAAATCCAGGCGACATGCCGAATTGAATTGCAAAAGCAAGGAAACAAACAAACAAACAAGGGAATGCTCCTACTCGGTGAAATGCTACTCATGCAAGGGAAGGGACCCCACCCAACGCAAGCTCCTCCTCCTCCTCCTCAATTAGTTGTACAAGCAAGCCCCAGGGATCAACCAGCTAGCTACTCCTCCTTCTGTACTCCTGGGTGACATCGCAGAGTGAGTGCCGCTCCTCTCTGCTACAGCACTGATTGAGTGATACGGAACCAGGGAGCTCTCATACCTGGATTCAGAGGGCACCCAGCTGCATGAAACCCTTGTTGGCTCTGTTGCGTCCAAATCTAGCAACTGGAGTTCAGTTGGTGAGAGATGGAGAGATGGAGAGAACTGAAGATGAGTGACACGAGGAGGGAGATGAGTGATTTGTGACGTGGTAGTAGTGGTGGTCTCGATCGGTGCAGGAACAGCTGAAGTGTCGGTTCCGTGCACACATTAAGACAAAGTACTGGTGTGGTGCGCTGGTAGATGGCGACTCGGGTTGAAGTGTAGAAGTTAAACAGAAGGGGTTTCTTGACTGCAGTGGGTGATGTTAATAGGTGCTTGATTGAACGGTGAGAGAGAGTAGAGAAAGAGTGGGATAGAGAGAGAGAGAAGCTAGTTAAGCTTGGTTCGAGACGTCAAGATCGTTGCAGCTGTCGATGAGTTGATGATCCTGGAGACATGGAGAGCTAGACGTGCGCTGGCACCAAATGTAAGCAGGCTTGGAAGCTTTTGGCAGCCTGTGGTGACCGAGTGAGGGAGAGCGGAGAGAGACAGAGACAGAGAGAGAACGAGCGAGAGAGACAGGTAGATAGCTACAGCTTTCAATCATCCCAATCACCAATCTGTGAGGACTGGTTCATGGTCTTCACACACCGACATTCACAGCCACCCGACCCGTCTCCTGCCCATAACGCGAATTGTATAAGTCTCCTGTCGATGAGTCTGACTTCGTGGTCTTCGATGATCTCGTGAGCGGCATTCTAGTCGTGAACTATTGGGTGGTCGTGTGGAGCCTGCGCTAGCAGAGACTAAAGGCGTGCATAGTACTCGATCACGTACAAGTGTTTGGTCACTTTTGCATTCTAAGACCAAGTGGAAGAGAATCTTCGTTGTCTGTAGGATACTAACTGCATCATACCAGGACTGGCGAAGTTGTTGAGGTAGAGTACAGTAGGTCATCCGATGCCGTTTACCTGCTCTTGCACTGTCAACGATTACCTTGCCTGATTCAGAGGAATGATGTTAACAAGTTTTCAGTTGGCATCGGTAGAATTCCAAGCGAATGGGGAATCTACTTGTTGGGGTAGCACAAATTTGGCCTTGTAGATCCTTCGTACAGGAAGGGAAGCACCAAGAGACTGTGCACCCCGATTTCTGTCGTGAACATTGTTGCCTAAGTTAAGAGTAGAGTTGCAAAGGCACTCATACTGCGAAATTCTGAAATTCTGATGCTTCATCTCATGACCTACTCTTCGGACATATTCCGCACAAAGTAAACCTGAACTTCGCCTGGTGATTGCAGTCATTTGGTTTCTGCCGTGGGGGGCACGACTAAGAAGATTCCAACTCGCCATGGATTCGAGGCAGGAGTTGGCTACCATGAACCCGATGTTGCTGCAACAAGCATTACGCAGCGTGTGTACCGACCAGCAGTGGGTTACGCTGTGTTTTGGCGAATCTTGCCCCGCAATTATCCCCCTCCTCAGTGAGTCTCTCTATCCGGCTTACTCAACTTTCTATCTAGTCTTCGCATTGCGCGTTCTGAGAAATGTTCTTCTCTGCCAAAAAAGCCATGATGTTTCTTTCATGCGTGAGTTCCATGCAGTTCATGAATATTCAAGTCGCATCCACCCCTTCCTGTTGATTAGTTTCTCAGAAAGCGAACTTGGTAACATGCTGCTGGTCGACTGTAACTGTATACACTTAACCATCTCATGCGGACAGCTCAGTTGTGGAATTGCCTTCGCTGGTCCTGTTACGAGATTCTAGCCTAGTCCATTTGCAGTACTGCTATACTTCGAGCTTTTCAATATCACTGGAACTCTGATTATTCAACCACATTGATAAATTTGTTACAGATGGGACACCGAAGGCGGAATTATGGACAGGTCCAAGAGCAACAAGCGCAATTGGTAGTGTACCTAACCCACCGCACAACACTTGAGCGTCTTGGTCGACGGATGTAAGTCAAGTTGCCACATATCAATCAGTGAAAAATATAGCTTGATAGTTGACTAACTGTGTGCAGGATCCTAGTTTGGGAGGAGGGGTTCTGCAACTTCCCTGCGTACAGCTTGGCGAGGACAGACAGCGAGGCATCAAGAGCCAGCTCCTCCTTCCTGTCCACGCAACAATCGCACCACGGCAACGACTCTGAAGAACCGGGTGCCATATCCCCGGAGCTTTTCTTCAAGATGTCACACGAGGTATACAACTATGGAGAAGGCTTCATGGGCAAGGTAGCTGTTGATAACAGTCACAAGTGGGTGTACCGAGATCCCGCCGAGAATGAGATAAGCTTCTTCTCGCCATGGCAAGGTTCACTTGAGCCCGTAAGCCTCCACATTCACACAAGCTTAAACCACGGTCACTGACATTGCTTGGTTACCTCATCTACTATAATGTGGAATATAACCTAAGTAACGCATTGACGGTGAATGCTGCTGCAGCATCCGCGTGTCTTGGACGCGCAATTCAAATCTGGAATTCAGACGATTGTGGTTGTGGCGGTACAAGAAGGCGTGCTCCAGCTGGGATCCACCCAAAAGGTGCTAAAGTAGCTCGTTATCTTCGAACTCATGTTTTCATGCGTGATTGCCTAACTATGTGGCTAATCAAAACGTTTGCCATGCTTTCACGCTCTGTAATTAATGACTCTCTCTCTCTCTCTCTCTCTCTCTCTCTCTGTGAGGTGAATCAGATCATGGAAGACTTGAACTTTGTCTTGTACATGCAACGGAAATTCAACCTCCTCCTCACTGTCCCCGGCCTGTTTGTGCCCCCACAGCAGGCATCAACGTCAGGGGATGGCACGAGGCGAACTATCGACGATTATAACGGCAACTGGAGTGTGCCCTCAGGCAAGGAGTTTGAGGGATCATCCACAGCTCAGCCAAATGATTTCCAATATCTGTCGCCACGAGAGGCGTGGAGCTTCACCACTGCCGGAACGAAGAGCGTACCCCCGATTTTAGAACCTTATGCATTCTCAAACGGAAACTTGGAAGCATGTCTAACTACATGTTCATCTCCTACGAAAGCTCACAACACAGGGCACACCAGTTCTCACGGCAGCACATCACCCACCATGCCACCAACGCTGATCCCCTCCATGTCCAGCCTGCAAGCGTTGTTGTCAAAGCTGCCAAGTGTGACGCCTGTAGAAGATCCGGAGGGTGCCACCCGATTGCATCCCAGCTATAGTTTTCCAGTAGCAAATTTCCCCAGTAATTGGCCTCCCATTTCTCGTCAGGGGCTGGGGATGCCGCCACATGCTCACGATCTATCCGCCGATACATCAAGGTCTCAGAACTCGTCGCTGATCTTGGAGTCGTTCGACAATGTGGGAGACTTTGGGATCCAGAAGGCGGTAGAGAATGGCGACTCCAGCTACAGTTCGTTCCTCAACGAGATTTGCAGCTGATGGATCAGAAAAAGCAAGCATTTATCTCCACAACTCGCACAGCCTCAAATAAGTTACCCGCAATGCACTTGACACAATTTGATTACAATCAGTGATGATTCGAACACTCATCGAGTTTTGTGATGTAAAACCAATAAATGCTAACTAACACTCGGCTGGGTAGCAACGACGAGTATTGACTGATGTTCTCAACAGAGCTCCGAAGTGGAAGATGGTGCTAACGTCTTGGATAGGACTCAGGGTTGGGATTTGTCAAATACGACGCCATTTAGTTTAAGGTTAGTGAATGGATCCCTTGATTAGAGGTGATTCCTGAATGGATGGCGAGCTTGTCAAACATTTGGATTCTAAATTAAATATGTGGTCGTTTCAGCCTCAAGTTTGGACTTTTATTGCGAAGTGACTTCTGAAACTTCTCAACAACATTACAGTCCCAAATTTTGCACTCAACCTTCTCTTGTCTACGAATTGTTATTCATGTTAGTGGATGAGCGATGCTAAATTCATCGGCATCATGCTGACGTTCAATAAAGGGCAGGCTTGACTCTTGCTTTCTGCCTACGAAAATTATTGACCTTAAAGTCTGTTGATGAACGGTGGTTGAGTACATCTGTCCTGTTGGCCGGCCACCAATTCTATTTGGTCGAATTTGTGGCAACTTTTTCGACGATCTGAGCTCACCTGATCACAAGCTCCACCGTTAGAATTCCCCTCTCCCCGAATGCCTGAGATCCCATCAGCCCTATTTCACAAACCTACAGATGCTCTTTTTCCTGCGTGTGCATGTTGGCAGATAGTGCAGTAATTTGCAAGTCCTCTGTGTGGTGATGCATTCTTGTCTCTTTGGGTCTGTTTGAAGCAATTAGCTTAACTGCAACTTCACCTCTGTGGCTATTTGTGGGCTATTGAAGGTAGCAGAATGAGTTGGACTTTAGAAGCAACAATACAATTTTGCGCAGCATGATGTTGCAATGCTTTGAAATGCAATGTAGTTGGGCTCTGGAAGAGAAAAAAATAAAACATTCAAAGGTGATTTTAAGATGAGAAGATCTTGATGTCAATTAGAGGGTGATGGAGACAATCACAAAAGATAATCTTTATGCCGAGCAGAGGAAGGTAGCACTGGTGGGTAGTGCAAATTGTGAAACCAACAAATGGAGTTGTATTGTACTGCGTGGTAATCCAAAAAGAACAGATGATTGAGGATGACTACAGAGTAGAACCTCAAACAGAATGAAAAACAAACAATATACAATTTTAATTCCGAATAAAAAATAATTATTGTAGGAAGTAGTTTTACATTTTGATCATAAATAAATTTTATTGAAAAAAAAGATATAAAATTATTTAAAAGATGCAACAAGATTAAATTATAATAAAACAATAAATCAGCATTGCAAAACTACGAAAAGATTTGTTTCTATTTTATAAATTGATTTTTGGTCAAAATTCTTAAAAGATGATTTTTAGAGAAATTATGTAAAAAATGTGATTCCTAAATTTTTATTATTGAATTTATTTAAGGTTTCTAAAATTTTAAGAAGAATATTAAAGAATAAAAAATATTTTATAATTTTTTTAATAAAATAATTTCTATTAGTGGTTAAATAATTAGAAAGTATTCAAAAAAATTGACAAAAAGATCATATATATCTCTCAAATGTGGTGAAATATCAAAAATATCCTTATATTCTTAATATTAGCAAATATATCCTTCACTTTTGTGATAATAGCAAATGTACCCTCAAATGTGATAAGGTATTGCCAAACTTTCTTTTTTAGTCATCATCTGGGGTCCAAACCACATCCATTTTGCCACACAAATTTTGGCCTCACCTAGTATTGGATCTTTTGGCAATTGCAAAAAAATTGCCTTTTTTTTTTCTATTAATTTGTTGAGCACAAGGATGATATAACTTATAGATTCTAAACTTGCCAATATGCATATCTAAGTCAACCATATCTTTGACATGTCTTTGGTGATAGATTAATATTTAAAAAAAAATTACTATTTAAATCCTTTACATACTACAAAACTCTTATATCTTGATGCATTAGTTTAATGTAGAATTATATATTGTAGTGACATCTACAATCAAGAATAATTATTTATTTTACAAGGGTGAAGAAAATAGTTCTATAGATACTTAGATTAAAAGTTAACAAACTAGTATATGATTAAACTTGATACCAATAACTTGTGATTGCCAAATCCAACCTTTTGCAACTTATAGATTTCATGATTTAGAGATAGAGACAATTAGTATAAGTACCAAATGACTTGAGATTCTCTCTCACAAGTTTATATTCTATAAGTATATGTAGTATATACAAAAGTATAAATTATATGAGGCACAAACAATGCATTGAGATCTACGTTAGATTAAAGTATACATTATTCATCTATAGCTATATTTGGACCACATGAGAAGAGGAGCCTTATATGTCGAGGTTGCTAAGATTTTGCAACAAATGCATAATCCATCAATTTCACCTCCTCTTAAATGCATATTCCTAAGGAGGATGTCATTTAAATTGGCAACAACTTATAGAATGTATGTCCTTATTTAGCAACATGCACTCTATTCTATAATAGTAAGCTCCAATAGCAAGTTAGTTTTTTATTATGATGAAATTCTATTTGACTTTAAAAAAACTAGATGTTGTAACAATTATTGTTCTATACTTCTTGTAGACCATGTAAAAAGTTAATAAAAAGATTTGTTTATGTATTAATATAGATGATCTTTCAACATCTAAACATATCAAGTAATTAAGGATTACTCCATGCATTCCATAGTCACACAAGATAGTTAGTAATGAAGAAATTACTTGAAATATGATGCACTGTCTGTGCTTTTAGTTTGAAAATGTAAGTTAAATTTTGCTAATTCCTCTATGACATTTATGGTATAGATTAAAGACACATAAGTAGCTTCACAAAGGAACATAATATGGTCCTGTATTTTAGTAAGACATTGCTACCTGCACTCTATCACCATGTCACATTAAGCTATTATTATACCTATGGAATAATAAAAAAGCCAATAATTAGACAAGTCCAAAATCTATGTGATAAAATTCATATAGCTTGGATCTTGAATAATGACTGAAAAAGAAAAAAAATTAGTACCTTTTATCAAAGACATGAATCTCATTGTATCAAAAACTCAATACATTTTTGTGTAACTCAAAAAGAATAGGTATTTATTCAAAATTAATAAAGTATTAAAATTGGAATGACAATTGTCAAAGACAAAAAGATTAGAAAGTCTTGAAACAAGACTAAAGACTAAAAGGCATTGACAAAGGTGAAGAAGGTTTTATTCTTGCCTCCATATATATTATCTAACTTGATGTTATGTAGGAATGTTTTAGAAGACTTCCAACACGTGACTGATTTATAAGGTACTTGTCTTAACTTATAAAGCAAGTTTCTTATATGTATGCTATATTGTTAGCTTGTGTCACAAGCTATCAACACGTATGACACATAGCTAATTTATTGGTCAAGTTTCTAATCTATCAATTATTTATAGATATGTATAAATGTGAAATTGTGTCTATAAAGCTTTTGAGAAGTTTTCTTATAATATATTATTGAATTGAATGTATTTTTATCTATTCATAATATCTAAGTAATTATTGAAATAAATATGTATGTCCATCATAATATTCCTTCTTTTCAAGACAAATTATATGAGTAGGAGTAATTCTAATGTTGAGGAAGTCCATGATGCAGAGAATTGTATTTGCTACATATTTTAATCTTTGTTCTTTCTTAAAGGTAGTTGATAGGTCCTCTCAACCATCAATAGTGTCTCATTTTAAAGTGGGAAGATTACCTTGCTATTTAATATTTATTGAAGCCTTCATAATTTTTTTTAAACAAAATATTTATAAAATTCTTAAGAATTATTTCTACTTCTAATAAAATCACCAAATATCAAGAGTCTCTTCTAAGATCATGATATCAAGCGCATTATATCTTGCTATTTAATTAAAAAAGAATATTTCATTTTTGAAGGTCTTCATTTTCATTACGTCATCTTAAAGGTTGTAATAATCACAATGTATCATTCAATAAATCAATAAACAATGGTTCTTAGGTTAAATCTACTAGCTATTAGTTCTCCATTTTTTTAGTACCACAAATATACAAAAACTACAAATAAAAATAAAAAAATTAAATATAATTTTTTTTGAAATACAATTCTATTATAGTAAAAAATTCTATCCTTCATATTGATTTTGATAAATGTTATCAATAAAAAGTATCAATATTCTTTGCTGCATTTTAAAGATTCTTAATTAGATTCTATGTGTATTCAGTAATATCATATTTGCATCAATGAACAAAATATTCTAACTTATTTCAGTGCCACCTTAAGTTTAAAGCTTCTTTGACATCATACTCTTAGTTATTATCTACTTCTATAGAAAGAAGTGGCATTTGTCATCTTTCTTATATATCTATTGTCTTATATAGCTCAAAAAGAGACACATCAAATATAAGATGGATCTTCATATACTTTAATAGGTATAATTATTAAGCAACTTGATTAATCTATTTATATATATAAAATAGTCAAAGTCTACAATAATTCAATTTGTCACAAGAGCAAATAGTCTTGATATTATGATGAAATAATCATACCTTATTGTTCTAACAAACATCTTAAATAGAAGAATTTATCATATTATTATAAGTAAATTTTATCAATAGTAAAAGAATTGTTCAATCATCTTGTTGGTAGTTTATAATACACCTCAAATATTGCTCCAAAATTTGATTCACTTACTTTGTTTGACTATCAATTTGTAAATAGAAAGCCAAAGATAGTTTCATATCCACCTTTAGAATCTTGAAAAATAGTTCTCTAAAATCTTGATATAAATTACATCCTTGTATCTAATATAATATCTCTTAGCAATCTATGATATCAATAGATATTGTCAAAGAAAAGTTAAATTGTTTCTTCACTTATATTAGATTTTGTATATGGTACAAAATATGCCATCTTAATGAATCAATCTATTAACACAAATATAAAATCAAAGGAACTTAAGACTAAAAGTTTGATGATAAAGTCTATAGAAACAAAAGACCATAGTTGTTCTAAAATAGGTAAGGATTGAAGAAGTCCATAAGGTCAATAATGAGGAGTTTTTGATCTTAAACTAATGTCTTGTGATTGTACAAAGACTTTAACTATGTTCCATATTTGAACCTACCAAAAATCTCTAGGTACTAGCTCTAAAGTTTTGTTGTATCTAAAATGTTTGGCTATTGGAAAGTTGTGACAAATTTAAAGAATGCTTAATCATACTTTATATTTTGGAATGTATAATTTTTTTTTAAAATAAAGTAGGTTGTTCTTAAATTTGAACT